AGATAGAACTAACATATTTGGTTGATTGATGTGAGTTTGTGACCCTGGGTTTCACGCTTTAGCGATCATCAGTTTGTCTGACGATCGCTAAAGCGTGAAACCCAGGGTCACAAACTCACATCTATCAACAAATATATATATATATATATATATATATATATATATATATATATATATATATATACAGTGGGTAGCAAAAGTATTTAACACATTGGTTTTTCTTACATATCTTAAAAAATAACAGATCAATTTCAACGAGACTTATAGGAAATATTTAAACGAACATTGTCGATCAAAACATAGAAGGAAAATTTAAAACCACTGTTTTGAAAAACATTTAAATTCCGAATTATCTCTGTTTCATTTTACCGAAGTTACCTCTTGATTGTTTTTTCACGTTTTCGTTAATTTCCGTGAATTCCCGTCGAATTAAATTTTGACCGTGTGACTCTTAGGATGTAGGTCAGCTCATCGGTCCTCCTCCTTCATTCCCTATCCAGGCTCTCCTACCTCCATAATATGATTCCAGTAACGGTGCCTTCTCCTTCTCCCTATACCTCCCAATAAGTCCCCTATATCATACTCTCTATCTTTCTTTCTTTCTTCAAGTAAACAGTACACTATAAACTGATACCATAAACAGTTTGAAAAATAACTCGCAAAATACATCATTTGTGGAATGGAAACTGATATGTCCCGGAAAGGGATATATTTGAACGAAGTAGCTAAGTGGTTTTGGCTACTATAACCAAGTAGAATATGGTAACAGTAATCTACTGGTACTCGTCATAGTCGCAGGTAAGAAGTGTAGATCAATGGCGTAGTCAAATGGGCGTCGTTATAGACTTAGCTCTCACACTAAAGCTCTTGACTCTCCTACACGTCCGTCAGTATTTGTGACGTATACCAGCCAATCATATTCCAGTGAGGGGGAACACAGGTGTATGCATATTCCATTATATCTATCTATGTAATTTTTGCCCACATCTACCTATTTATCTAATTTTTGCCCATATCTATCTATCTATCTATCTATCTATCTATCTATCTATCTATCTAATTTTTGCCCATATCTATTGATATGTTCCGGAAAGGGATATATATTTGAACGAAGTAGCTAAGTGGTTTTTACTATTATATATGTAACCCTATACCGATATATATATATATATATATATATATATATATATATATATATATATATATATATATATATATATGTATAGGGTTATGTAAATGGTTTTAAGTAAAACTAGGTATTAGCGACTGTATATGCGCGTGCTGGCGTGCATACACTGATAAGCAAATAAATAATTAGCAAATATATAGCCAAGAGTGTAGACATAATAATATATAAATATATATATATGTGTGTGTGTGTGTGTGTGTGTGTGTGTCTGTGTGTGTGTTACATTCACTTACGTACTAATATTCTTGCTATGGGTAAATTGCAGGACAGACTGGCTCCTATAGCCTTGGGTGACGATCGTTCTATGAGAAGGACAATTCTTAATTCAAAGCCTACGGAGTGTTGTTTTGGGACCTTGTGGCATACTTTGCAGCATTTTTCTGTATTCGGCTCTCCCCAAAATTTTAATAATTGTGTCTAAGTTGCTGAAAAAAAAAACTAGTCCTTGGTGTTTTGCCGAGCGCTTTCGGTTGTCGTCAACCGTCATCATGGCTGTAAAGTTGACTGTGTCATTCCTATATTCGGAAAAGCTCTTCGCTATGGTAACTCAACTTTTTGAATTTAAGCGCAGTACTAGACTGTTGTCGAGTTCTCATCAATTTATAGTTGAGCTACCTAGATGTAACCGTAAGTTCTATACTAACAGTTTCTTTTCTCGCACTTCTTGCTTGTGGAACTCCCTTCTGTCTTCATGCTTTCTAGCCAACTTTAATATGCCAAAATCTAAATGCTGTGTCAATCGCTATATACTGTCCACCTGATTACTCTTTCCTCTTCCCACTCATTATTAATGTTTCTGTTCCTAATTCTTCCACATCCAGTAACCCCCTTGTGTCTTAGTGGCTTTACTGCTTTGGTTACGGAACTCCCTTCCAACTCCATGCTTTCCAGCCAACTTTAATTTTAAAAAATTTCAATGCAATATCAATCACTATCTACTGTCCTCTTGATTACTCGTTTCTCTTCCCGCTCATTAATAATGTTTCTGTTCCTAATTCTTCCACACCCTTTAACAGCTTGTGTCTTAGTGGCTTTACTGCCTTGCATGGGGTGATATCGATTTTTTTTTTTTAAATTCATTTTATTTATTTAATAATTTGTTCTTTGATAACAAAAATGTTGGGAATATGTACAGAGAAATCCAAATAAAATCGGCTCGTTTATCCGAAACAGATTAAAAAATATCTTTAAATTTAAATTTCTCAACGTCTCTCGGTTGTGCGCATACGTAGTCGAATCAACGCAAACATGTTCGATGAAGTCCTAAAGGACGAAACGCGTCACACGAAAACTTTTCCACTTCGTCACACACACACACACACACATACACACATATAAGGTGTCCATAAAGTCCGTGTGCACTTTAAAAAGTTTATAACTTTATTTATATTTGCGATAGAAATAATCTGTAAAAAATGTTATAAAGTTTAATGTACCTAGTTTTAAGTATAGCTAAAATAACTAATGTGATTCAGGCATTACTGTAAATCAGTTGGCAAATGTTTTCCGTGAACTGCAAAATCGTATTACCCTTTATATTGCTAATGATGGAGGACATGTGGAAACTTAAATAAAATTTCAATAAAACCTTAAAAAATATAGATTTACTTCTTTCTAATCCTTTTTATGAATTATTTCTATCGCAAATACAAATAAAGTTAGAAATGTATATATACAAGGTGACCCCCCCCCAAATAAAACGGGAATTTTTTGAAGCGCGTATTGCCAGACATGAGCAAGTGGCAACACTGCGAGACAGTGACCTTGAGCAAGTAAACATTTCGCCATTTCGAATTCAAGATGAAATTCACAGTATCCCAGCTGAGATGCTGCAGCAGTCAATGAGGAATCACAACAGCAGATTTCAAGAATGCATTCGTACAGGAGGACGCCATCTACAGGACGTAATTTTTAAAAAAAGAAAATTCCATCATTGTTTCTTAAATGGCATGTTTTAAGGTTTCAATTACTATGAATAAAAATATTTTTCTTCCATCACTCTTGGTTTTACTGGATTGTTAAATAGTTCCTGTTTTTTTGGGTCACCCAATATATATATATATATATATATATATACAAACTTACAACAATATTCCCCTGTCCTTTCCCGTACGTCCATCTTTAAAAGCCTAAAAGCCTTTGTAATAACGCAGACATTCATGAAATAGACATTAATTATAGGAAAGAAAAAAAAATGTAAATAATGTAACAGCCCAAAATATTTGAGTTGGTATTGTAGCACTTTTGGTAAAACACTATTTTGACAAACGCCCCATAATGGATTTGATGTGTTTTCCTTTTTAGTTTAGGAATTGTTGCCGTAGTTAAATTTTGCCCCACCTCTACAAACTAGCAACGATACTTGACGTTGCACGGGAAAAGTACATTTCCTTTAAGAGATATGCCATAATCAGAGTAAAAGCAATTTTTTTTATAATTAAAGCATTTTGATAGTGATTTCATTTCATATTTGAATTTACAGTATTTTTCCAACCTTCTAAACATTGCTTACTTATACATTACTCTCTTATTTTACTCTTATTATGTGATCGAAACGCCGAAGTGGTTACCAATTTCAGTTATGACGGAGCAGCTGATGATCCACTTGTGCATTTTAAGTAGATATCCAAGGAGACATAACAAGGTTCACATATAGAGTTAAATGGTAGAGAACTGGCGAAAAATGCGAGGAAAGGCATGATTGCGTTTAAGGAATATTATGGAATAAAATGCTGAAAAATGTATTTATTTTAATTACATGGTTTAAAGTATTCTGAAAGAGTCGAAGCGAAACATTAACTTGGCGACAACGTAGTAACTTAGTAAAACTGGGTATAGTTTTGCACATACACTAACCATGACAAGCGGAAATGAAGACAAGTAATAAATCCTTCGTCGAAAATCCAAAATTATCTTGAGTTTAAAGTTGGAATTGGCGGAATAATTTACAAGATATGGATTTTGGGAAAACTCATTTAAATCGAACAATAGCCACATAGATTGTTTACATGAAGACACATTTGCCAGTGGTCTTATAAGAAGAATAATTTACTGGAAGTAGGTTGTCTAGACTCGGCCAAGTGGTTAGCAGAAGAGATGAAACCCTCAGATTATCACCAAAAATTGGGAGAACGAGGAAAGAGACACAGTTGTTGTCTATTATCATCAGAGTTGTGAACGAGCATTTTAGGCTACTGCATACTGCTGTCAAGAATTGGAAAAAGGAAGGCACGTTTGATAAACTTATGTATTCCGGTCTTTCTCGTCGCTATAGAAGAGTTCGATCATTCTAAAAAATACGTCAACTTTAAATTTTTGCAATACATTGTTCGGTTTTTCAAAACTGATTTGGAAGCTACCCAGACTTTAAATAAACTCAACGATGGTGAAGGATTTTCTTGTACTGTTCATCACCGAACCAGCAAATAAAAATTTATTTCAAACCATCACGCAGTCTTCACTACCCAACCATGAAAATTGAAAAGCGTCTACGCGTTCTTGTAGTTGATGAATTACACCCCCCGCGCAACGCCGTTCCCACGGACGAAATGTTGCAAGCCTCTCGTTAATCTATCACTATTTCCATGGAAAATGTCCAGACGAGCTATATTCCTTACTTCCACCGACTCTAACCGTAAATGCTAATCCCGGTCACGCCGCAGACCCTGAGATGAACCACCGGCATTCCGTTCGCATTCCAAGTAAGTTCCACTCAAACAGCTTCTTCTGACGTACATCTACTTTGCGGAGATGACTCCCAAGAGGATGCTTTTCCCGACTACTACTAGTCTAGAGTTATCTTTCCTACATATCCACACACACACACACGCATATAGAGATATTGTCCATTTGTTATCTTTATATATATATATATATATATATATATATATATATATATATATATATATAAAAGATAACAAATGGACAAAGGACAAATGGAGTAAAAATACACAGTTCGTAGCATTTACTTTTTAAAAAGTGCTCAATACAAAGTAGAGCAAAATATCAAAGATTGAAGTTTATAAGCAGTAAATTCGACCTTGCCTACCGAACGATCCTTTGTGGCCGAGTCGGTTAAGGCACGTAAATGACGATTCCGTATAGGATACAGGTTCGAATCCTGTCAAAGGACGAATATTTTCTATGAAAATTTCTCGGACATTCAGGCCGGTAAATGTTATTTAATACTGTTTATTATAAACAGAGCATTTACTTAAATACTTGTATCTATAAAAAAGAACGTTAAACATAAAAATGTCTTTAATAAATTGTCGGACTTTGTCCAATTCTTAATATATATATATATATATATATAAAATATTGCACAAGAAAACGCTAACATACTAAAAAGAAAGAGCTCGATGGTAAATGTAAAAAAATACAGAGACTAAACAAAAGTTTGTGCACACCTAACTCTCCACTACTGTCAGTTTCAGGAATTTTTGTATAAAACAGATTCTCGCCATTTAGTTTGTAACTCTGTGTCTACACTGGTTATATATTTTTTATACTAGATTAAAGGCCGCCCTATCGGGTGACATTTAATCTATCTGTTAGGGAGGGTCCTTGATTGGGCCTTCATCACAATAGGTAGGGAGGAGTAGATGCGATAGGCAACAATAAACTACAGAAGAACTCAAAATTGATCGAGGCATTTAAATATTTCATGAATATTTAAGATTCTTTTTTCAATGTTTAATGATAATTCTTCTGTCGCCAGTTAATTTAAAGACAATTCGATGTACGTAGGTCCTTACTTTCCGTACAAATAATTATTTTTATTTCATGGGTGACGTTCGCTGGATTTCGCAATTAATTTTCGATTATTCCCAAATTTATTTCCTAGTTATAAAAATTGTTATCGTAGCAAAAAATTTTCGTCGCAAAACAA